AGCATTGACATCATTGTCTGAGATGTAAACGTGTCAGTAAATCACAATTCTGGTATTTTTCAGAGTCGTCTGTGAGCACCGTGGCTGTGTGTGCTGGCTCTGGGGCCTCGGTGCTGAGTGGAGTCAAGGCAGATCTCTACGTCACAGGTGGCTAAAAACTCAGTTTACTTCTCATGTGCAACAATTACAGACACTCCATGTTGTTATCAGTGAAGTGGTCGTATATTACTGCACCCAAAGATGGAATACTATCTGTTTTTCAGGTGAGATGTCCCACCACGAAGTGCTGGACGCTGCAGCGAACGGAACCAGCGTCATCCTCAGTGACCACAGCAACAGCGAGCGAGGTTTCCTGGCTGTGTTCAGGGAGAGGCTGGCCGTGCGTCTCCCCGATGTTGTGACAGTGATGGTGTCGAAGGCCGACAGGGACCCTCTGGAGGTCGTCTGACCTCCTCTGTACCAGTTAGTCCGTTGGATAACTTCACACTGTTTAGATCGGACAAAACTGAGCGATCCAAATGTGTCAAGCTCTTCACGTAAAGCCGTCCGCTGACTGTACAGTTTCTGAGAGAACAAGCTGTGCCTCACGCTATGATGGAAATCGCGTCCTCGGTACATGTTGTGCTGTTTATCGTGTGTTTCTGGCAGGGTCTTAATAAAAATGGGTTCTGGCTGATCGAAATGGGCTGTAGGCGTGTTGGATGAGGAAACATCATCAGCCTACAGACGCAGTGAGAGGCGAAGTGAAGCATGTAATCTATAATCTAAATGCATGCGGCTCGTACATGCAGCGCATCTATTCACGCTTAATCCTGATAGTCAGTGACCTCAAGTTTGAGTTTGCTTCGGTGCGACGAGACATTCAGCAGATTTCCCCCTAAAAGGAGGCATGTTTACATCATGTACAGGGGGAAAAATTAGGTAATCCTCATCAGATTAAAAGCTTCCATCATAAACACGCTATACAGGAAACTGCATCAACCTGAGTCAGCTGTGAGAGTTTAAAGGCAAATCACAACACGGAACTCTCAGTGATGAATAAGAATATGACCAGGATTCTTAACAGGATGACCTTTAGGCCTTTGTGAGAAAACACAGGTGGACATCAAACCATTTAGCACATACATGTCAAAGAGCAGGCTGATGGTAATACTTCATGCGCTGTCAACAGCCCGCGCCGCCGTCCCCCGCTCCAGTAACGGTTAAAACAACAAAACGGCTAACAGTCCTCATTATTGGCTTTTACAGAGTCGTGTGGCTGCATTGCCCGTGGCACACCTGTTAGCTCGTAAAAACATTAAGAGACGTCGCCAACACCTCGCCGCCCCCATCAAGGTAATGACCTTTCTCTCAGCTCACACCTCCACTTCCCCTCCGTCCTCAGCAGCTTTCATCCCCAACAACACACACACACACACACACACACAGATGGAGAAGGAAAACAACAACTAGAACAACACGTAAACTTCACTCCTGTAAACTGACTCCAGCTGTCTCTTTTATAATGTTTGGCATGTCTGCCAGCAGGTAGGTTCAGGCCCTTTTTTCTTCCAGTTTGAGAGTTTTCTTTTTCCTACTGAGCCTCAGGAAGAGAGCGCTCGCAGAAAAACATTCATGCAGGGATGAAAGTCAGCAGTCAGACAGTTGGCAAGTCCTCCAGAAAACATCAGATCACTGTTGTCGGCTCTTGGATATTACAATCTCTTGTAAAGTTTAATGTTTTGTGACTGTGAGGAATTCAAGTTTAAGCAACTAAAGCAGACTGTGAAACACACTGATGGCGACTAGGGAAGCAAAAACCGCTGCAAACGGAAATTCTTAAGAGACAGAAGTGAGGATGACAGATGTTTATCACCAAGCTGACAACATTTTCAACACTTGCATGTAACACATTGTACATATAGTTGTAATTTCTCCTAAACCGCTTGACATTTGCACTGATTTAACACTTCTTATCTCTAGGCTGGAACATATTTAAGTACATTTCCTGAAGTGCTCTTTTTAGGTAGTTGCACTAAAGTATTCTTATTTTATCCTCCACTACATGTTCAGTGTAGAGTCTCTATAATGAATACTTTTGCAAATACTTTTGTAGTTTCACTTCAATCGCTGCTTCTCTTTTACAGCAGACCTGTCCATGGTAGCACAACATATTAAAACCCATCGTATACAACATTCGACACACAGATCCACAATGAAACAAACACCAGCTGTTTGAACACCTCTGAAGAAAAACATCCACATGCCTCCTGTCCCACATTCTCTTAAATGCCCTAAAATGCAAATGCAGATGCAAATATGTTTAATTTCAGATCTTCCTGCAGATTATTGCATACATGAAAATGCATAATCCCACAAAAAAATGGAAAAAAAGAAAAAACAAAAACAGTAAAACCAGTAAAAATTACACGAAAAATCTGACATAATGATATTTTTGAGCTGATTTAAATAAACTAAAACTGTAATTTTATGCTCACTTTCTAAAACAACAAATTAGTATAACAACAGAATTTTGGATGCGGTCTTCTGATTAGGCACAGTTTGGGCCTGTATTTGATTATTTTCTATTTTACATTAACATGTACATGAATCCTGTCTAGGTGTAAGTTTGCTAGATATTACCTTTAATTTAACAAAAATGAAAAATCTGTAAAATAACCAAATTTTTTAAATATATTTTTTAATCATTAAGATACTTATACTTTACAAATATCTGCAAAATAATGACATTTTTTGCCGATTTAAATACAGTAAAAATGCTGTAATTTATGGTCAAACATAAAAGAACAAATTGCTATTTGCAAAAAAAACATATTTTTGTTGTTACAGTTTTTTTAGCCTGTTTTTTGGGGTTAACATTTAAAATTTTGCTTCTTTCTTTAACCAGATATTATCAGTAATTTCACAAAATCTGTAAAATAACATGAAATTGTTGGAAAAATTACACTTAGAACTTGAATCCTTTTACAATGAAATCAAAAAGGAAGATGCTGCGTAAAAATACAAGATGTCACCGTAATCACTCGCCGGCAGAAAAGTAGCTGTTCTTTCTTTCCATTACAAGTAGAACATGATTTATTGCTCTACACCTGCTAAATGAGTATAATCACACTGTGGTGCTACATTTACTCATCTGCTCACCAAATGTTCATCACAAGACGTCAGAATTGATTGAGAATCAATTCATCTGAACATTTCCAGCATTCAGGGAAACAGTTGCTCAGATTCAGTTATAATAATGAGCTCATACCTGAATTCAAACCTACATATAACAAAAAAAAGAAACTCTTGTTTGTGTAGCGACCAAATTGCAGCTGTTGGCCAAACTGTCTTCCTCCTCTTCTTCCACCTACGCTGAGGGTTTGACTCCCTGCTGAGAAAACCTAACAGGGACTCTGCTGAGAGGAAGAAACTTGTCATCAAACAGCCACGGGGGGCCTCCCTGTAAACGACCAGCTCTCTACGCACGTATGAGAGGCGCCGCATTTCCTACGACATTTTTCCATTATTAAACTAATCACAGACAATTAGGGAAATAAGTTTTAAAAATGCAGCTTTACTTCCTGCACACACTGAATGCAATGACAGTGACTTCAGTTAAAGATAAGCATGTGAAACTGGTTGAGTAGAGGCTGGTCTTCAAGACATGAAGGGGTGGGTTAAGTCTACACATTCTTCATTTTAGCAAATAATTACAAAGGAAAAGTGCCAAAAGTAAAAGTTGTGCATTTAATTGCTGATGCATGAATGTGTGAACAGCGTTTTAGGTTGTTGCTGGTTGAGATGGAGCAAATTTTCAGCACTTTGCATATAGTTTGGGTAGTTTAGCTACAGAATTGTGTGTAAAATGCTCGTCTGCAAAGCATCCAGTAAGTAAAGCTGTAAAATAAGAGTGGGGGGAAGTTTAAAGCATCATATGTGCTGCAGAAATGTTGTGGAAGAGAATAAAAAGATTCAAGTAAAGCATGTGTAGGTCTAAGTACCAGTAAAGTTATATATTCGGCCTCTGTTGATGTAAAATAACACAGATCACATAAACGTTCTTTGCAGACTTTGAGGTAAACCCAGATTTTTCCAGTCACCTGCAGCAGAACCAGTGTTGTTTGTGTTTGTGGAGCAGGGACAGAAGGGGAGCTGAGGGGACAGGGAGGTAGATGAAGCTGAGTGAAGATGGGACCATTTGGCCCGAATGTGTGAAGATCCACACACCTATTTAACAGAGCAGCCCGGCGCTGAGGGCTGTTATTGTAAAAGGACAGCAGACAGACAGGAACTCAGAGACAGAAGCCAGAGAACAAGAGAAAACTCTAAGAGGAGATCACCAGAGCAGCCACATAGGAATACCTGGACGAGGATCTTAGAAGGAGCTGAGGAGTGAAATGCTCCTGTGGGGCAGGTGAAGAGGACGAGTGAAGGAACGAACACTGAGCCGGAGAATGCTGAGCGTGGAGATGTTTCCCAGTTTGGCTCTGGGGCCCCAAAGGATCGGAGACTGTTTTTACAGAGGTGAGAAAAAGAAAGAAACTGGACATGCATGGAGATGTGTGATTTCAAATATCCTTAATGCTCAGTCATGAATTTAATGATGCTCTTTCATAAATCATTAGCCTTTTAACTCTTGCCCTTCAGGTTCTCCTAAAACGAACAACATCTCTGAAAGAAGCTAATAAGCACCATTTAGTGCAGACGGGGGGTATTATGGGGCATTTAGTGCAGCTCTCAGAGCAGCAAAGCTCCTAGAAAACTGCTGCACTGAAGGCTGGGATGGAGAGTTGTAGTTAAGCACTTTATTCTCAAGAAAATGTCAAACATTTTAGATAATTATAACCTGGTAACATTAAAAGCCTTGAAATGAACAAGCTTGAAGGGAAAGTGGATCCAAAGTACACTTACTTCTCCAAGTTAGTGGCTCAACATCAACTACTTCAGTGACTGCTGATTAGATTCACATGTATGCCATCACAATATGCACATGTGTTTGCATTGCTTTTGTCAGTCCTAAATGTTTTTCTTTTACGTTGGATTCAGAGCGGGAGCCTCCTGCTCACCTGCCGCTGTTTCCTCCCACCTGTGACGTGGCGGCTGCAGCTCTGCCGCCGAGGCTGCTGGCTCCTCCCCCCGTCCCCAGTGAGCCCACGTCCAAAACCCAGAAAGATGAGGTGAAGATGGAGCTGGAGAACTCGTCCTTGTGGAAACAGTTCAGCTCAGTGGGCACAGAGATGATCATCACAAAGAAGGGCAGGTGAGGCCGTCGAGGGCGGCTGACCTCTGACCTTTGGCTCAGCTCTCCTTTAATTATTCATTTTTGTCTTTACTGTTACTTATAAATCTACCAAACTCATCACTCGGTTTTATTTTTCTGAATCTATAATTTACCAGCAACCATTTCTCTCTCAGTTTCTTTTATTGTCTACAGTCTCGTCTTCTTTTTGTTCATGTTTCGCTTCCTTAACTTTCCACTGTCCTAACATGTTTCCTTTCCTGATCTAGTAATCGAGTACTTGTGACAAACAATAAGTTTAGGTAATAAGACAATAGACAGACCCAGCGATGTCATTCTTAACTTCCTCCACTGTCCTCTTTCTCCTAGACGGATGTTTCCGGGCTTGAGGTTGAAGCTGTCAGGCCTGAATCCGTCCCTGCGCTACATCCTCCTCCTGGACATCGTTCCGGTCGACAACTCGCGCTATCGTTTCCAAGGCGGCAGCTGGCAGGCTGTTGGCGGGGCCGAGGCGAGGCTGCCGGACCGCGTGTTCATCCACCCGGACTCACCTGCCACAGGTGCACACTGGCAGAGCCGCACCATCTCCTTCCACTACGCCAAGCTCACCAACAACACGCTGGACGCACAGGGACATGTGAGCGCTGCAGGCTGATACAACAAATAGGCTTCAGTGAAGTCCTTTGCTTTTATGGTGCACCTTGAGTAAACACTTTCCTTTTTTTTTCTCCAGATCATCCTACACTCGCTGCACCGCTACCAGCCCAGACTTCATGTGATCGAAGCCAGAGATGTGTTAAGGTGGGGGGGAGGGCAGCACTCCTTCGTTTTCCCTGAGACCCAGTTCATCACTGTCACTGCCTACCAGAACAACAAGGTATCGTAACATGTGTTTACATCTTTAGTAGTTTCTTTGTGCAATACCAGCTTCTATATGTAAGACATGCAAAATTAAGGAAACAAGAGCCGATGTCAGAAGTGGAAAGATGGTAAATCAACTTTTAAAAGTGTTTTCTGTTATTTTCAGATCACGGAGCTGAAGATCAACTCCAACCCCTTCGCTAAAGGCTTCCGAGAGGACGGCATGAACAGCAAGAAGTAAGAAGAAGCACAGAGATACACACTCAAGATTGTCGATGACATATTAGGGAGAATCTAAACTCCTTTTATTTTTGCTTGCAGACAAAGAGATGCAAGACAGAAACGAAAAATTTCCATCTTGACAGAGACTTTGGATATTGGTGAGTGGGATGACCAGACTTATGCCGTCTTAAATCATTGATTCAAAAGCTTCATCCTGAAACATCTCCTCTCCTCTGCTTCTATCAGTGAACTGTGATCCCTGCGACTCGACTGAGCTCCTGCAGCAGCCCACAGACACCAACACAGACCTGCAGGCCCTCGCTCTGGCCTCCCTGCCTCCACTTTCCGACCCGTCGTGTGGGTTCAGGCCAGAGGAGGCCTCCTATCAGGACACGCTGGTTCCAGAGCAGCCGCTGGACCTCGGCCAGGCGTTCATGGCATCTCAGATGACTGACATCAGCATCACGATGGCCGGCGGGATGCAGGACACAGCGGGGAGCGAAGTGGCAAACAATATGATTGAAAGGTAGGCGTGCTCGCTGCTTATCTGAGTTTAATGCTCGAGTTAAATATAGATCATCATCATCTTCTCACTCATGCATCCACTTTCACAGGCATCATAAAAACAGTCATGTTTCCTGTTACATTCAGTCCAATTTATCCATTATTTGTGTCAATTAAACACTTTATTTCAGTGTTTATTACAATATTCTTGAATAGTTTTTGGTAAATGATGTGAGCTTTCTTGCTCACAGTGGAGTAGAGACGATTGATGTTGTGTACACGCTTCATATTAAACTATAGCCAGGAGATTATCAGCTTAGCTTAGCATAAAGACTGGAAACAACAGGCCTGCTTCTGACCAAAGGTGGTTAAATTATACCTTCGAGCACCTTAAAAACTAAAAAAAAGTCACCATTGTGATGAAGAACTCATGTTAGAACAGTTCTGCAACTTGATTCGAGGGAAAGTCAATCTGAAATTACATTTTTTCCAACTAAATATGTGCTTTATGGGACATGTTAGACACGATCTTATCATTAGACTCACTGTTCTTTCATTTTTCTTACTCTGTAAAACAGAAAATGTTGATTAATTGTGGACGTCCTGACATTAGAAACACAATACTAACAAAGTAGTGAACCTTTTTTTTTTTTTTCACACTTTTGCCAAAATGAAAATACCAGGTTAGAAGTACAAAATGTCATTACAAGTTGGTGGAATCCACAAAAGTAAACGGCCATCAACGAAACAGAAAGACTAATGAGATTTACACGAAACCGTAAGTAGCTCCACTCACTAGTTCCAGATCTCATTACCTGTTGGAGGTCAGTCTGTAAATTTAAGTAAATAAATAATGAAATGATGACAAAATTAATGAAAAAAAGAAAGAGGAAACATCAAATTCAGATTATGTAAGAAAGATATTATGATGTAAAACTGTATAAATGAGGGTTTTTTGTGGCGTTCCTCAATAAAACTCAGGGTGTCAGTTCATTCTAAAGAGCTTTCATGGAAGGTCTTTAGGAAACCTCTGTCTAATGCGCTGCAGCTTTTCATAGACGCATTTATGAGTCGGGAGGGACGGATGTGTCCTTTTATGGAGAATAAGCCTCTTAGCGAGCAGGGCGGTGAATGTAATAACTTGCTGTGAAGCTTTGGAAGCTCAGAGGAAGGAACTCCATAAAAGGGCTGCTGGTGGCTGGATACAGACCGACTGTTTCAGCATTAGAACCTCACCAGAGCTCTGATCTGTTTCTTCTCTCCTCCACAGATCAGACACGATGGCAGAGCCGACGTTCACCTCCGGCTTCCCTGCTGCTCCACCCAGCTCCTCCTCCTTCCCTCCAGCTCCTCTTCCTCAGCCGTCCTCCTCCTTCTCCTCCCTCCCCGTCCCCGCCTCCTCGGACGCCTCCGACCCCCGGCCCTCCATCCCCCCCATCGACTACCCCTCCCTCCTCTCCTCCTCCCCCGCCCTCTCCGTCGCCGCCACCACCCCCTCGCTGCAGCAGACCTCCTTCACCTTCCCGACCCCGCCTCCTTCCAACTCCTCCTCCCCTCAGCCACTCCTTCCGTCGTCCTCCTCCCCTTCCTCCAACACCTACCACACCATCCCAGAGACCATCAGCCCCCACGTCCAACCCGACGCCCCCTTCAGCGCCCCGTCTTCCGCCTGCCAGTCGGGTCTTCAAGTCCCGGCTCATTCTCTGCTCAGCCAGCCGAACCAGCCGCTGCAGGGGGAGCCGGGTGGAAACAACTCGCCCAGTGATCAGAGCACTGTGGCGTTCATCTACCCAAACGTCCCGCCGACAAATCCTGCTCATCCTCCTCAAAACCAACCAGCAGCTCCGACTCCGCCGTGCTCTCTACCAGCTCACGGCGCCTCCACGTCTTTCGCCTTCCCGTCCGTCCCTCCACACATGCAGAACCTCTCATTTCCAAATGTCTCTCCAAGTCCCGCTCTGCACCTCCCAAATCTGACCCACCAAGCTCAACCTCCCTCCCTCGCCGCCGCCGCCTTCCCCACCTCCTCTTTCTCTCACCCATCCTCCTCCCTTCCTCACCCTCCTTTCCAGGCCTCCTCTTGCTTGGCGTCTTCTTTCCAGCAGTCGGCTGGAACTCTTCCTCAGAACCCCTCCTCTTCCTCCTCCGCCTCCTCCTCCTCGTACCCACCGGTTGAATTAGGAGCCATCCCTCAGTTCAACCCTGCTCTCCCCTACAGGCCGGAGATGGTGCTGCACCACCCGTCTCTCCTCCCTCAGCTGGACCCCTCCCTCCCCTCCTCCACCCCTCCTCCAGCCCTCTACCCGGCCTTCCCCTCCTACCCTCTGCGGCTGTGTCAGGACCCCCACCCCTCCCTCTCCATCCCCTTCAGGCATCTGTACAGACAGCACCAGCACGGCCACCCCCACCCACAGGGGTCCTACCTGGATATGGGCACCAGAGCAGTGTTTTGAAATACAGTCATGCTGACAGCGCTTTTAGGAAAATTAGCAATTAGTTCGAAGTAGTAGTGTAGTCTTCTGTGTGTGTGTTTTCTCAACAATTCTGCTGATGGGATTGATGGATTTGATACTGATTTGTATATACTTGGTAAAGATTTTCAAATATTCATTCCAGTGTGAAAAATAAAAAGTTTCCTTTCCAGGCTTTTGTGATTCGGTTCTCCATCCATCCATCCATCCATCCATCATCTATACACCGTTTAATCCTCACTAGGTTCATGGGGGGCTGGAGTCTATCCCAGCTGACTCAGGGTGAAGGCAGGGGACACCCTGGACAGGTCACCAGTCTATCACAGGGCTACACTTAGAGACAGACAACCAAGCACACTCACATTCACACCTACGGACAATTTAGAATCACCAATTAACCTCAACATGTTTTTGGACTCTGTGGAAGGAAGCTATCACATGAGACTTCCATCTCTTATTGTGCAACTGTGTGAGAAAACACATGCTATTGTTGTGTCTGACTGCACACAAAGACTCATACGCTTATGAAAAAGTACCAACCAGAGCAGCACACTGAAGCTTGGCCGATGTGTCGTATTGTTGTCCTGAACAGAGAGCAGAAACAGAGCATGTCAGGAGGTGGGACTGTAGAAATTTACTCCTGAATAAACAGGAAAACTGTCACTTTAACTCCTGAATGATCCCATTTAAATGTGCTTAACACTCAGAAGTGTTGGGCCAGTTTATGAACAGGATGAGAAGCTCAGAGTCGAGGTTCTGACCTGCAGTGTAAAAAATTGCAGCATCAATCATTTTGTGAGCAGCTCATGCTTGGTTTGTTATCTATGCCAGCTAAGCAGACTGGAGTAGATTTTCAACTTGTCGGGTCAGAGACGTATGAGAAGGATGGCAGCAGTTAATCATTTCTCTCCGGGCTGCTTTGCTTCGCTTTTTGTTGTGTGGAAAATCTGTTTAATAACTGAGCCCTCTGGAGATTTGTTCATGCTTCCACTGTTCTCTCTGGGTCACAACTAGATTTCCTGTAAAATTACAGCAAATTCTGTGGTTGTCAGTGTTTTACTGCATTTTTACAGCGTTACTATTGAAATTTACTTAAATGGTTACGTACTGTATTGTTGATCACAGTTCTCTACAGTAGAATATGAGGTTAACTGTTTAAAACTGTGAACACACTTTCCAATAATATACTGTATTTATATAACGTTACCACTGTAATCAATATTAACTATATTTATTTGTAAATTACCACATTAATTCTACTAAAGTGTATAAACACAACTGTAAATTGCAGACGTATACCATAAATAACAATGTGTGTTTCATTTTTAGGATCCAGATTTGGGAAATCTGTTTAACATTTAATAAACACATATATCACTTATTACCTTAAATAATTAAAGATAAACAATCAGCCAAATGATATTTTTATGCTTTATGAAGATGCATTTATTGACAGTAATGTATGAGAATTTGTAGTCTAATTAATATAGTTTTAAAACTAAGGGGAAAAATATTTTTAACCAAATGTAAGTTATGTTCAAGTTTTATAATATTACTATTCGCTGTATAAATCAAACAATACTTTGTGAACTGTTAAATAAATAAATAAATAAATAGAAAAGAGAGAAAAAGCAAACAAACAAAACTTTTTGTTCCATTAATTTAAAAAAAAGTTGTTCTTGTTTTTGGCTACAAAAAAACATCAGATTTTATATTATTTATCTGTTTACAAATAAATGAATAAATATGAAAAGAAAGAAAGAAAGAAAGAAAGAAAGAAAGAAAGAAAGAAAGAACATAATTTGGCAGTTTTGTGTTTTTTTTTACAGCCATTCATTATGGTAATAACCTAAACATGTGTCACCCTACAATGTTCCTAATGGATCACAAATAAAAAATGTACAAATACCATTGTATGCAAAATTGTAAATGCAGGGAGTTGCATTCTGCTCTTTATGTTTTATGCATTTTACAGCCAATTTAGGCAAATAGTTCATATGAGAATGTTTGCGGGTTGATGCCAAGGGTCGACGTGCTGTTTACTCAATGCAGAAGAGTCACTCATTAACCAGTGGGAAGCGAAATGTGATGAATTTCACTGGTTCATACTCGAACCCTCAAATTGCACTTGTTCACACTCCTCTGAGGGCTGTGAAGGACGAAGGGTAAGGGTTTTATCTTAATTACATCCTTCTTTTAAATGTTACACTTTTTTGTGACTTTGGATTAACAGAGATGATCAGAAGTCGACTCGATGCTGCTGCCTGCTCTGTAGGAGCTTTTGATTCTGTTGTTTACTGGTGTTGTGATTATTCCTGCTACGATGTACAGACACGTCTTTATCCTCCTCCTGTAGGTTCTGACATGAGAGCAGGATTCTTCTCCTGAGTGAACCTCTCAGACTGAACCACCTGTTACAGCTAACTCTCAGCAGACACACGTCAAAATCATAAAAGAGGAAGATTTACACAAACACTTCAGCACTCAGACGCCTTGTACAAGCTGAGGCCGTAACACATGAACAGATCCACGTCTGTCGGGGTGATGTTGTGCTCTCATTTGCGTCCGTCGCTCCCTCACCTCTTGTCGCTGAGGCTTCTGGGTACCGCAGCCTCCAGGACTGCAGCCATCAAGCAGCCTGAGCTCCTGACAGCCACTCTGGCCTTCGAGGATCCCAGCGCCTTCAGGGTGAAGAGTCTGGGGGAGCTGCTCCGGGCTCTGGGCGTCTTCAGACTCTGTTCCTTCCCCGTGCTGGTTAACAACTGTGGAAAGGTCAGAGTTTGTAGTTTGTCTAAAGATTATAATACTGAGGGAAGTTTGATGAATAGTACTGTGAATGGAAAAGAGTCAGAAAGAGAGTCCTGGTGAGTCTGTGCCACTCCTTTAATGGGAACGCTGTCTAGGTTGTGTTGTTTTTGTTGTGGGTGGTTAAAACCACTAATTAACCACATGTCATGTCTGGATGATTATTCTGATCGTTGCTGCTGTGATGCAACAGTGTGACTGTACAAATGACTACATGTACAAAATAAGGCAGGAAAGTAGGTCACAGCCTCTGCCCTCCTCTCCATCACGTCTCCTCCTTCTTCTTCTTCTTCTTCCTCCTCAGCTGATGTCGGTGGCTCGTACCCTCCTGGGCAGGAGGGGGTTTTCCCTGCTGCTGCGACCCACCGTCTACGCCCAGTTTGTGGCCGGAGAGAATGAGAGCGAGATCTCTCAGTCCATGGAGAAGATGAGCTCGCTGGGACTGAGGCCCATGTTGGCTGTTCCCATAGAGGAGGATCTGGGGGAGAGCACCGGGTACGACTCATGTACACTTTAACCAAATGCTGTTAACATGTGGATCAGTTTTAGCCATCTCCCACTCTGTTATCATGCTGTAATGGGCGGCTGTGGCTCAGGTGGTGGAGCGGTTGTTCTCTAATCGCAAGGTTGGCGATTCGATCCTCCACCACTCCACAGTCGAAGGGCAAGACACTGAACCCGAAGTTGCTCCCAATGGCAGGCAGCACCTTGCATGGCAGCTCTGTGTGTGAATGGGTGAATGAGAAAAAGCACTTCGAATACCACAAAGGTAGAAATATAAGTGCAGCTGTTTAATGCTGCAAGTTACAAACATGACATTCTAGATAAAAAGTAAAAAAACTAAAAGTATTCAAGGACACAGCTAAACAGGTAAATGAGCAAACAAATAGAGACTTCAGAAAACCTGACAAAACAGAAAGCCTCTCACATTTAAGTGGAAATCCTAATCTGATACGGGGTGCACTTTTTCCTTCAGCATGCTCCTCTTCAGGGCAGTCATACCAGCTCGGCTCACATTAAGGTGGGAACACACACCCTCCTGGGATTTATGAGCATCTTCCATATTCCTTCGAAAAAAAAAAAAACATAAACACAGGATAAGATACACATTTGTCCGTGCAGCTCCTTTGAGAATCTATCTGGAGACGAAAACCTGAACGTCACCTCGCTACACAGGCTGAGTCCAAAATAAACACGTATGGGTTTTATGCCTCGGGCTGGTTTTCTGTGGTGCAGCAGCTCACCTCCAGCAGAAAAAGATTCTGCATTGGGTTTTTAGTGAAGGCTCAGGTGAACCTGTGTGAACCAAGATGTTCTATATTAGATTTTCTGTGAGTTGTTTACGATGTGGGATTTAAAGAACTGCATGTATTGGGATGCAGGCTACAAGGTGGAAAAGTGGTCAGCACCGTTGCCCTGGTTTGCGTCCCGGTGAGGACACCCAGGATCTTTCTGCATGGAGTTTGCATGTTCTCCCCGTGCAGTGTGGGTTCTCTCCGGGTTCTCCAGCTTCCTCCCACACAGTCCAAAAACATGTTGAGGTTAATTGGTGATTCTAAATTGTCCGTAGGTGTGAATGTGAGTGTGCTTGGTTGTCTGTCTCTAAGTGTAGCCCTGTGATAGACTGGTGACCTGTCCAGAGTGTCCCCTGCCTTCACCCTGAGTCAGCTGGGATAGACTCCAGCCCCTCATGACCCTAGTGAGGATTAAGCGGTGTATAGATAATGGATGGATGGATGTATTGGGATGTAAATTTGATCAAAAGGAATCCAATACACAATGAGAGTCTGTGAATGTGGTGCATGTGATTCTTACTTGTGTGGTCGCCAGGTCTGGTCACGTCTTGGTGGAATTTTTAAGTAATGTTTTTATCATTTTCAGAGATTTTCTTTTTGTTCTCGTCACCCCCGAAGCTGCACAGCATTCTGCATTACACTTTGTTTGATCTCATTCTCACTCCTCCCAAATCAGCATCTCGCACATTTCTGATTTGTTTGAACTCCAAACATCTCTACGCTGCTGATTCACACTTGGGTGCATGTTAAAGCGTGGAGTCCGTGTCCGTCTCATGTTTCTGTTTGTCGCCTCCAGGGAGAAAAGATACGACGACAACATGGAGGCCATGTTGGAATGTGTGCGGATGTCCCACAGCAACGCCTGGTGCAAAGACCCGATGATGCAGCTGAAGATCACCGCCCTGCTCAGCCCGGAGCTGTGTGTAAGGCCTCCACCTCAGAGACTACGCTCACAATGCTTGTAGGAAATTATACCTTCCAGACCATTTTGAGCTGAACTCCCTCCGACATATTTAAATTAGATTTTGATTAACATTCTTAAAATCTTTCCTGGACCTTTATCATCTGATTTTGTGGGAAACTTCAGTGACATTTACTTGAATATTTTATCAGTTATTTGAGCATTTGGGTCATGAGGACAAACATTTATGCAGTTTCCAGGAGTCAGAGGTCATAGAAGAAGCTGACCCGCTTTCCAGTCTGTCAGCATTTTAATGATTAAGTCGGTGGGAAAAAAAAAGATAAGAGACACATTTTAGTGTTTGATGTGTCCACAGCTGGTCCTGGTTGTTTTTGAACCTTCTTTCCCCAAAACCCAGCTCATTTCCCAGAGCTCTCTTCTGATCTGAAGTTGACTCCATAAATAATAGCTCATCGCTGGTGTAAAGATAATACTCAGGGTGCTTGTGCTGAGTTTGTTTTTCCATTTCATGCTACTTTATACTGCCAGTCCACTACAATTTATTTGCTAACTTTAATTACTGGTTACTTTGCATGTTCAGGTTAATAAAACTAACTATAATCAACAAATAAATGATGGAGTTTTATTGTTGGAATGATTGAGATGGAACTTAATTGATGCACAGGCCAAAAATGTACAAACTATTGAAATCAGTTCCACCTTCATCATCAGTAACAATAAAATGACGAATACTTCAGTAATTATAAACCAATGATATGAAGCGTTGTTCTGAAATAAGTCATCCTGCCTAATGAGCGCTTTCACTTTAGGTAGTTTGAATGTATTTTGATGCAATTCAAATATACTGTTCATTTTACTCAAGAACAAAATTCTTGTTCTCGTGTTGAAGGTGAAACTTACAACCCTCATCGCACAACAACCGTACGATCTGGATCTCCTTGTCAGAGCGATGGATGGAGAGGTGAGTCCACGGTCCACCAACATATGTTCCTATTTGTTGTGTTTTTGCTTCTGATGAGGGTGATTCTGATGTTAAATGATCATTTTCACTCAAACTTTCTCTTCCAGACGGTCTCCTTCCCTGGTTTAGATGAGAAGGAAGCCGCTCACTTCCTGTGTAGCCTGAAGAGATTCAACAAAATATCAGAGGTACAGACGTGAAGGACGACTGGACACCTGTGTTGCATGAGAGCGTCGACTTTGTATCCTAAACTCTGAATCATTGACGGAGTTCACTGTAGTTCATTTTAATTAATGATCAGTCTCACAAAGATCGTTTGTTCTTCAGGCCAGCGTGAACAAAGTCAGAGTGCTGGTGGATGCAGAGTACACCTACATGAACCCCGCCCTCTCTCTTGTCACCATGGCGATGATGAAGAAGTTTAACAAAGATGGCGCCTGGATTTGGAACACCTATCAATGTTACCTGAAGGCAATCATCTGTATTTCTCTTTCTTATTTTTTTTTTAAAAAACAAATATCATAACACTTTCTGTTATTTGCACCAAGAACATGATCAGATACGTTCCTCTGTGTGCGTGTTTGTCCTTCAGGAGTCCAGGTCTCTCCTGTTAGACGCTCTGAGTCTGTCCAAAAACGAAGGTTTCTGTCTGGGCGTCAAGCTGGTACGAGGAGCCTACATGGACAAGGAAAGGAAGCTTGCAGAGAAAGAAGGTCGCTTGGATCCCATCCATAAGTCCTGGAGCAACACCAATGACAGGTATGTACACTGTAAAACAGATCGTATAAAAAAAGCTGTGAAAATCTGGCACTCTCACTGCCAGAAAAAATATATGTGAAAAAACCTGGTAAGAAACAGGTTGTGTTTGTACCACAAATGCAGCATACGGCTGTTTTTAATCATTTAGTTATTTGCTTACTGCAATTTAATTTAAAAAATTAACATTAATAAACCTAAAAATATCACACATGCCATAACAACTGCCTTAAAATACA